AATTGTCTAGAGACTGGATCTGAGACTGTCTGTCTTATTGCAAGATGGAATGATGTTAGGGGAAACAGAATCCAAGTGCTCACCTTTTCTCTACAGGGAAGCTTCTCTCCCAGACATTAAAGAGTGAATGTTATTAGGTACACGAATATGGACATTGTCAGATGGTGAATGGAATATGATGAACAGAAGTCTTTAATTAGTAGAAATTAGTAGTCTACATTTTAAAGAGGAACAGTCTGTCTTTCATTGCAAGTTCTGATGTTCTACAGTGAGGTAGAAGTGACATGAGAGTGAGATGATTCCATTATGTATGCCAGGGCAAGCTGCTGGAAGTTCCAACACTGCTTTAGGTTGTTATTGGAAAGATGGCTGCTATTGCATGTGGGGTGCATCCTTGTTTAGGCTTTGGTGCTAATGCTCTGTAAGGAGGAGTCTGCAGCCTCATGCTATAACTGTGGACACGGGTAAGACAACAGGGAACACAAGTCATCATTTAGAGAGGTCTGTGTTAGCCTCCTTAGTGCAATTCTTGAAGTCTTTGGGTATACAGGAATCAGAAAGAACTCAGTCAACACCAATTATACAGCAAGAGCTCTCTAACCCATGTGTCCATAAAGCATCAGAGAAGCCTCTCTAAAAACAGGAGAGAAAATTCATGAAGTTGCTGTTACCCACAAGAGGAAAAGTCACAGAATGTGTACACTAGATGAACATCACCATCGATCTCATCTCAGATTCTAAGAGGACATTGATGCTTCAGTAAAACCATAGTTTTCTCTTTTCTGTTCTTAAAGCTCCATATGACAGTTCTGTGTAAGAAAGGCTAAAAGGGAAAGTTACTACCTAAAAGTTTCTTCCCTGCACACCAAAACTTTGCTTTTCTCCTAGAACAGATAGCTAGCCTAGATTGTGATGTTTTCTTGTCATTTACTAACAGAAAAACAATTCAGAAGTGTTAACTTTTCTATGTGAATAAACAATCTTAAATGAATACATTTACAAAGAGTATCATATCAGAAACATTTACTAAAGTTTCGGGAAATGCATGAATTATGTAAAATGGGAAAATGAGAATATAAATATCATAAAAACAGAGTACTAAGACAGTAAAGCATGAGTAAGAAATTTTGTATGACTATGTAATAAAGTACAAAATGTTTGCAATTGTGAGTATTCTACAATATAATTTTGAATAAATACCATATTATCACTCATATGTCACTATATTCCCTAATACAATTCTGTCTGTACACTCAGTAGGAAAAGTGGTTATATTTTTACATATTCATTTTTGCTAAAATTACTTATTGTAGAGATAAAACTTTCAGAAATACTTAAAGAGTCATGTAATTAAATATCAGTGCATAAAATATCAAAAATATCAAAAGACACTGACACAAATATATATATCTAATCCCACACATAAGAAAAAGGAATTTCAGAGAAAGGCCATATTCCTAAAATAAAACTAAACATAAAATGGATCTGAAGAATTACAACATATATCTAGAGTGTATGACTTCTGAGGTACATCAGATTTTTTTCTATGTCAATATGAACAAGTGAATCTAATCTTTCCACTCCCCAAATCCAAACATCAATAATAATCTCGATTAGACATTTATTGTTGTTTCTGAGAGAACTCCATTCTTTTATTTTAATACTCTGTGTTCACATCTATTCACTAGTACCAATGAACACATACAATTTGGGGGGGGGGTTGCAAAACTTATCCTGCATTAACTATAACACTCCTAATTTTTCTATAGAAGAGTATTTTCTCCCATGGCATCTGTCAAACTGCACAGCTATTACTTTAATTGATGGTGAAGAAATGGAAATTTTTGATATAAATTGTGTGCAAAGCCAGATGAACACTCCCTGCAACTGTATTCAATGCTACAGCAGAAGTGCTAGAGAAAAACTCAGCAAAAAAAAAATGTGATTAAATATATCTAACTGTAAATGTAAAGCTAGTAAGAAAACTTTTAAACTTACGTACATCATAATCTTGTATGTAAACATTCTAAGTAATCTAGAGGAAACTAATTAGAATTATTAGTATTAATGTCAAGAAGATCAGGAGGAAAATGCAATAATCATGCAATGCCTCTGAAAATTATGAAAAGTGATTAGATATTCATGAATAATTTAAAAAGAATATAAGAAAGCACACTTAAAATTATTAAGCATTAAGGAAAGAGATTAAAGACTTATGTAAATGAAAGCCTTTCATATTTATGAATCAAAAGATTAAACATAATACATTTGTAACACATGCTAGGTTGAGTTTCAAATTCAGTTCAATCCCTATCACAATCCAAGCTCTGTTCTCTAGTTACTTACCTCTGGAGCACGAGATCCTTGCAAGTATGTATGGGGTCCAGAAATTTAAAAGAAACTTAAATAACAGTAATTAACTTTAAGATTCACACTTCTCCAATTGAAACTTGACCCAGTGTTACAGTAACAATGTAATATTGCCAATAATACAGATATATAGATTAATGGAGCATAATCTGCCATCTAGAAACTAACTTACTTTTAGGTAGAATTAAATTGGTGCAAGGGTTTCTTCACGCTTTAATGGATATAGATTTTCTTCAGCAAATGATAGAAATATAATGAAATAGCTACTTATACATAATATGTAAGCCTTTTTTTTCTCATACAAAAACCAAAAAGTAGTTGAAGGTGAGTCCCACAACTAAATTTAAACGCTAAAGCTGGAAATATACTGTGAGAAAGCAAAAGGGTAAATTATCACATTATTTGGTTTAGTGATCATTTTTAGATAAGATGCCGAAAACCAAGGTTGTTCTACAAAGTGATAAACTGAATTATTTATTTTGAAAAGAGTGTTTTAAAAGTGTACTTTAAACTCCTCCAAATATCGCATCTATTGCCATTTCTTTGGGTTGAACTTGATGGTAAGACTCTATTGCTGAAAACAACACACATTTTGATATAAAAACTGTTGCCTCTGCTCTGCAGCCAACTTCAAGTCCTAGGGTTTGTATCCACCAGATCAGAGAAAGAGCATTGACCTTCTCACTCTGCTGTCCAGATACTGCAGCCAATGGACATCTGTTACAGAGGGGAGGGGGAAATAGTACAGGATATGATTCCTACACAGACCCATTCTCTTTGACAATCAGCCAGACATATAAGAAGACATATAAAAATATCCATTTGCCATAGACTCCCGCTATGCTTTAATTAACATTTGTATAGGCTTGTGGGAGCTTTGTACCCATTTTGAACTACTATATCTTAAAACAGTCTAAATAGCTATAAATTTAATCAGCATTTTATAGACACAAGTTTATTTGAGGAGGGACAGTTTAGGAGGAAAAATACTTGTTAGCAGATGTGTGTTCTGTCTCCTGGTATAACATAGACCATAGCCAATGATATAATATAATGCTCAATAATTTTCCTACTAGTTGACCTTAGCAGATAGAACGCTCTTAGTGAGCAAGCTTGTTAGGTATATGATAAGTTATTTCTCAGACAAAGAAAGGAGCCAAATCAAGCCAGTTTAAAATACATAAAAATAGAGGTTTATTGGGAAACCGTCTGGGGGCAAGCAAACTCCATGGCTCTAAAGGAGGCCAGGAAAGACACCTTGGGGAGAGAGAGAGAGGGAAGGGTGAAGAGAAAGAAAGAAAGCTAGAAATCATGCAGAGAAAAGGAAAAGAGGGAGAGGAAGAAGAAAGAGAAGGAGAAGCAGAGAAAAGAGAGGGAGAGACCAAAATATCTGAATAATACAGCAAAGAACCTCTGTGGAAAGAAAATCCCAGTCCGTGGGCTAGAAAGTTCAAGGTGAAAGGTGGGGTATGCCAAGTAGGAACCACCACTACGACCAAGGATAACGTTTGCGTTTGCTCACAGGGAGACACCCAAGAAGATGCCAGGAGTAAGGGCCTCATCTAGCTGTGTGCTTATCTGTGCTTAATGATTTCCAAGGCAAAGGGAGACTTCCAAATGGTGGCCATTATCCTAGAAAGACTCAGACATAATTTTCTCAGGAAAAGACGTAAGGTGAACCATAATGAAGAAAGTTCCCAAAAATGTAACATTTAGAGACCAAATCCACAACGTTAGAGATAGAAGGACCGTGATTACATCTATCTGCTCCATTTAGCTGAGACTGTGTTAAGCATCACTGCTGCCTTCCTGACTCTCGCCTTTTCCAGTGGATATGACTGTATCACTGTTTATAAAACATGAAACTGTAAAACAATAAGCAACGGTACCGCAATGCTAGCCCTGTTTGCTTTATGTTTCTGTGACTCCTGGTTGCACCAAGAGCTGTGGTAAGGTAACAGATGCAATGCACAGCATCGGAGGCTTTGCAAGGTCCTTGTGAAGCGGTGCCTTCTGTAAATATCTGGCACTGCAGGTCTTAGAAGGAGAGGCTAAGGATTAAATAATCATTTTTATTCAAGGCTCTCCACTCCACACAGCACATTCCTTGCCTTTAGCACAGATTCCTGCTCTTCTGCTCTTCCAGCAGCTGTAAACAGCAGGAGCGTGACCAGCTGACTCACTAGACTGTGGGACAACCTGGAGACCAGGTCTGTTTTGGTATGTTAAATATGCACTTTAAGTATTTGTTCCAGGTTCTGAAGTCCAATAGTTACAGCGTTTTATATCATTTTTTACATAATACATTTTCAGCATTCAACTTTGAAAAACAAATCTTCTACCTTTGATTCGCTTTAATAGGGTTTTGTTTGTTTGTTTGTTTGTTTGTTTTTTGAATCTCTGAGTAGATCGTTCAGCCGGGGAAGAATGGAGCCGTTGCTCTAAATTTTAAACAAAACACTTTCATCTTTCTATCAAAACAGAAGCAGAAATTCACGATTTCATTCAGAAGTTTCAGTTCATCCCTTCCCTCATACAAGTGTAACTTAATAGCTGGTTCCTAGAAGGGGGCGGGGTCTTACAGGAAGTTCTGCTTTAGTTGCTTTCACTTTACTGCGCGAACTTCTGGAGGTTGGTGATTGCTCTGCTCTGCTCTCACTGGGAAGAATCCTACTTGATCCCTCTAAATTCTAAGAGCCTTTGATTCCAGTTAACAGCACAAAGTATTCTGGGAAGAATCCTACCTGATCCTTTTAAAGGGTAAGAGCCTTTGATTCTAGTTAACAGCACAAAGTATTTATTATAAGTGTCTTTTAGTGGGAAATCACGGGTCTGGGATGTGATGGGGCAGAAACTCATCCTGGTGTGTGTTTTCAGAAGATTTTTCGAGGTTGATAGTACATAAATGATTTCAGTCTCAGGTTCGTATTCTCTCTGCCTCTCACCTGCAATTGATTCCTGCTGGAAAAATTTAAAAACTATTTTATGCCTGCCTCCCTTCTCCTCCTTCTTCTTACTCTCTCTAACCCCCACCCCCCACCCCCCACTCCCCACCCCAGACCTGGTTTTTCTTTGACTTCCCTCTTCTTATTCTTCCTTCAATGTACAAGAAAAGTTTTTTTTGGTTTGTTCTTAGTTTTCGTTTTTTTTTTTTCTTCTCAGTTTCAGTTTAGTTTTTCCTATGGAAATGCAGCTTTGATTATCCACCCACCTTGATCCCTTGCGTTCCATAAACCCTTCTTTATAGACAGTGGAGAAACTGAAGTGGTGCCTTCTGTAAATATCTGGCACTGCAGGTCTTAGATGGTGAGGCTAAGGATTAAATAACCATTTTTATTCAAGGCTTTCCACTCCACACAGCACATTCCCTGCCTTTAGCACAGATTCACGAACTTCTGGCAGCTGTAAACAGCAGGGGTGTGGCCAGCTGACTCACCAGACTCTGCCTGGAATTTAAGCTGCTCACTGTCCCGACTGACTGTTAGACTGACTGTTAGCTTTATAGATACATCCAGTTTAAGGTTGTAATTTTGATTCAGGTCTATAGCCAGTCTTTAACTCCAGGCGTGGTAACACCTGCCACATCTGATTGACTGTGGAAGAGGGATGGAGGGGGAACGGGTAGAAGACTCAGTGAGGGAAATTTGTTCTGAGGTTGGAATCAGGAAATAAATATTTCATTGTAATTGATCTCTCTCTCTTCTCTCAGCCTCCTGCAGTGGCCAAGGCCAGCCTGAGATCTCTGCCGTCAGACATAGTCTATCCTTCGGCTGTGCTCCTCCTGGGTGAGTCTCCCGCTATAAGCTAGTGTCAGTAGAAATTCTTCCCCCATACTCCAGGCTCCTTCACCGGCCCCCAGGAAAAGCCCTTTCTTGTGCTCCTCTGCTTCTGTGAGCCTGGGTTCCTATGCTTGTGATCCTCTTCCTCCTCCTCCTCCTCCTCCTCCTCCTCCTCCTCCTCCTCCTCCTCCTCCTCTTCCTCCTTCTCCTCTTCCTTCTCCTTGTTTACCTGCTACCTCTCTGTTGCTGGCCTTATTTGAGCCATTGTAATTCTGTCAGACTTTTCCAACTGCTCAAATAACAGATGTAGAACACAGCTAGTGCAAGTGAGTATGGCCTGAAGCAAGGGTGTGCCCAGTTCCTGTCACCAGGCAGCATCCGAGCTCAGTGTGGTGTGACTCTTCATAAGACTTGAAGACACCAACTGCTCCAGTCTCATTGACCAGGCTGCTCTGGCTACTTGAAAGACATCTAGGTGATCAGACAGGCCCTATCTTGGATGACTTCATGCAGCCACCTGCAAGGAGACTATGTGTGAATGAAGATGGAGACTCATTGAGCTCAACCTAGTAAAAAGCCAGGCAAATCTTTTCTGGAATTGTGGGTGGTCAATGTAAACTTGTTGCTGGGATATCTTGAGCAACTTCGAGGTCCCCTACAAAACCTTCAGAATCTTAGATTGGAATTGCTCAGGGATGGAAGGGCTGATCTTTCAAGAGAGTTTCCCAGCCTGTATCTGATAGAAAGGGCTAGATTCTAGGATACTTAGACCCTTCACTGTGTTTCTGGACAAACATGGTATGTGTTCCCAGGTGTGCCCGTTCAGCTCCTTATGATGCATTTCCAACGAAAACTACCCTTGTTAAGCACTGTGGTCACATAGAGTTACAATCGGGAGGGGCAAGCTAGCCCATGGTCAGGTTTAGAAAGACCCACAACAGCTCCTAGCGTTATCACAGGCCAGCATTCGGATTAGAGCAATCTCTATACTCTGTGGATACAATAATCATGTAAATCATAACCGGGAAAATAATCACTCTATCTCTTTGTCATCTTAGCATACTGAAGATTTATATAATACCATAATTAATTCAGGAAATATAATTAAGAAAGTCTGTTTGAAAAGAAAGAAAAATACGGTGCATCTAATCTCTTTATACCTGAGAATGTCTTTCCAAATATATATTTTTAATTTATCCTTTGAAAATCATATGGATGCATGAAATGTATTTTGATTATATCCCCATACCTGCCCCACCCTCACCTTCTAGCTCCTCTTGACCCGTAACATGTCTCTCTCCCAACTGCACATCCTTCTATATTTTTTCTTCACTTATTGAATCCAGTAGTGTCTAGATGTGAATAGGTGTGGGGTCATGATTAGAATAGGTGCAACGTACCAAGGGAAAAAGCCACGGGAGAAAAAATTTTTCTTCTATTCCAAGTAGCTATCAAACACAAGACCGCTCAGGTAGGGTTTGGACTATATATCCCCTTCTTCAGACATGTCTTCTGTCGCTAAGAACCCCAGCTCTGAGATCATGAAGACAATGGACAGAAAACGCTGATTTTCGATAGCCCTCCCTGGCCCTTACCTCTCAGAAACTTTCTGAAGCTTCCTTGTGTTCTCTGAGTATAGGTTACAGGGTGATAGGTATTCTTGTGTGGGAATGCAGATGAAATGATATGGATGGTCATTTAGCCCTAAGCATTCCACAGTCTCTTATTTCCTTTCTGCATTGGACCAGTAGTGATTACTTGACAATATCTTGAAAATAAATATCGAGAACAAAACAGTGGGTAATTTCAATACTAAGTCCTAAGGAAAAGTGATTAAGTGAGCAGTATACTGCAAGATGTCATTTGGATCACAAGGCATGGAGGTAAAGATCTGGGAAGAGGTACTGAAGATATGGCTAGGTCATCACAAGCTCTGCCGTTTCTTCTGAAGGACCACAGCGCAAGTCTCAGGTCCTACATGGGAGCTTATAACCATCATTAACTCTAGTTCCAGGAGATTTAATATCCTCATCTAGCCTCTACTATGTGTAATGTTATGCCTAAGAGTGTGCCTGAATGTGATACACAGACAACCCTTCAGGCAAGCACTCTTACATACAACATAAAAATAAACTAAATGTTTTAAAAATTGAAAGATCTTGAAGTGGAACAACTCAAATAAATGATAATAACCGTGTCAACAGAAACAACACAGACGTTGATCCTCATGGATAAATACCTTCTCTGGGCCAGACCTTAGTATTAGAAATAATGTACGTAACATATTGCTTTGATTCTGTGTGGAGAACGCTGATGTTCAATGAGGTGAAAGTATGGCTCCTATCCAGGTTGCTTTGGATGAGTCATTCAACACTGTCTGAAAAAAAAAAATAGAATGGTGTTTGAAGCAACCTCAAGATATTTTAAATATTTCCTACGTAGTGGACACGTGCACCCTCACCACCTGAGCACCATTAACCAGCAACCTCACCACTGGCATCTCTCCTCATTTTCAACATCTAATTGCTTACTGCTACACTAAAAATTTGAATCTGTTTCTGCAAGAGAAAAACACATAAATTACTGGTACTGATGATGTGACTCCTAACCTCTGCCTCTTAATGGTGTGCCATTTCAGAAGCGTGCAGTCACCATGGAACAGCACTGTGGTCTGATCACTGGCGACAAGGAGAAAGGTAAGCCTGGCTTGCACTCTTAGTGATGAGAGCTGTGTGCCCAGAACAATTCTTCATCTATGGGTATCACTGTAGAGAAGCTTGTTGATCTCCTGCCCTGATTTCTTCCCCAGTACCACTGAAGAGCATCTCAGTGACCTTGTCCATCAATGACTTTGTGGCTGCTGTGGCTGCAACCTTAAATTATGAGAATGAGGAGAAAGTCCCATTAGAGGCAGTCTTTGTGTTTCCTATGGATGAAGACTCTGCTGTCTACAGCTTTGAAGCCCTGGTGGATGGGAAGAAAATTGTGGCAGAGTTGCAGGATAAGACGAAGGTCTGAGGGATGAGTACATTATCTTTTCTCTTCTTTATTTGAAATTGCATTCTTCTTCATCTTTATAAGCAATTCATACGTGCTGATGTTGTCTGTTCCTTTATTCATTCATCAAGTGCTAGTTGCCCAAAATCAGTGAGGCAGAGGACATGAAGTAGAAGGTACCAGATGAATTGTAAAGTTCGCAGGATCCATGACACGCCCCTTGAACAGTTTGTATTTTCTTGATTACTTTTGATTTCATTGGCGTCCACCCTTCTTTAGGCTCATAGCGAGTATGAGGAGGCCCTCTCCCAGGGCTACGAAGCATACTTATTGGAAGAGGATGACTATTCAAGAGATGTCTTTTCTTGCAATGTGGGAAACCTGCAGCCTGGAGCTAAGGTGGCAGTTACCCTGAGGTATGTGCAGGAACTGCCCTTGGAAACAGATGGGGCCCTGCGCTACCTGCTCCCAGCAATCTTGAATCCAAGATATCAGCTCACTGGTAAGTCATTTCCGCCTTTGACAAACCAGTGATAGAGTGACTGGGAATATACACAAAATTTGCTTGTGCTGGAAATTGTTGCTATGAAAGACAAAATTAATGTACTTTTTTTTTGTAGAACAGTCAGCGAGCAGTTGCTTGAACATACGGAAACCAGCAGTTTCTCTGGAGGACCTGCCTTATACACTCAGCATGGTTGCCACCATCACTTCCCAGCATGGTATTGAGAGGATCCAATCCAACTGCTCCTTGACCCCTATTCAGTACCTCACAGAGAACAAGACTTCTGCTCAGGTGAATAGTAAAAGAATACTATTATCAGTGTCAGTCTTCTCAAACTTCATTGTTGACCTGGTCCTCACTCAACCTTCCCACATCTTGCTTGTTTTTTGTTGTTGTTGTTTTGTTTTGTTTTGTTTTGTTTCTGATTATGCTCCTGATGGAAGAAACCTCCAACCTTGAACTCTGACCTTATCTCAGGAAGCAATCAGTGGGAATTCTAACATGGCTTCTCTGCTGGTCCCCTACTCAGGTCTCCTTGACTGAAGGGCACAAGTTTGACCGAGATGTGGAACTCCTGGTTTACTACAGTGAAGTGCACAGCCCCAGTGTAGCTGTGGAGATGGGGATGCAGGACATGAAGCCAGGTATTTTCTGTATCCCACTAAAGTCCCTTTCTAAGATGCAACTTTCAATTATCCTTGATTTTCTATCCTCTATCTAGGATCAGTATATGACCATTGAAATGTTGACTTTCTACTTCCACATAGAAAAATGAAAACCACTTAATAGGTAATCAGGTAATTATGTCCTTTAGGCTAAGTCACTTTTATTATTGGAGGATTAGATTATTAGAGGAAAAAATATGACCAAATAATTCAAAAAAAATCATTCAGCCCATTGCCAACATGTGACAATGACTGATCTTTACAAAAAGGACAACTAGAACAATAATCCCGTGACCACTTCTCCTTTCATAGCATCAGTAATGTCCAAGTCTGATAAAGCCTCATGCTTTACATGGTATGGTGAGTTACATTCTCAGATATCGCAGAAGCAAATTAATTTGTTTCAACTGTTTTAAAAGTATTTGGGCTATAAATAGTAAAGTAAATACTCAGTTTAATAATTTATTTACTTTGAAATATTATTATAATTTATATAATTAAAATATAATTAAATTATATTATTATAAATATTATAAATACTTATTCAATATGAAGATGATATTGACTTATAATAATATCCAGTATTATTAAATAACTGAAATATAAAAAAATTAAAATCTGTATTATTAGTTACATGATGAGTTATAATATCATTATTAAAATAATGTACATTTACAAACTGGAAGATTTAAATAGAAGATCTCCAAATAATAGGAATGAAAAGGTAGTTATAATTCTTAGTACTGTAAAATAATCATTGGAGTAGGAAAATAATAATACTATAATCTAGGCAATATGCATGTTGCAATTTTTCTTAATGAATAATAATGTCACTTTAGCTAAGTATGTTTTGTTGAATAATTTATCACACCTACATGCCATCTTGCTGCCACATCTTCCTTCCTTCCTTCCTTCCTTCCTTCCTTCCTTCCTTCCTTCCTCCCTTCCTTCCTTCTTTCCCTTTTGGTTTCTGTTTTATAACTAGTAGGAATTGCCAAATTTAACATAGAGTTATTTTTAGTTCCTCTTTGTTCCAAGGAAATTAAACTATGAAACCATCTCTCAAACTCCTTCTTTTTAACTTACCTTATTCTTTTTTCTTACACAATGCTGAGCTTCCCAGTGAGTTTTGATTTTTATCTACATTTAATTGTCATTTTAAACATTTCCCTATAGGCACACTTAACTCATAGAAAGGGTGGCACCACTGTTGTTTTGCTTGCTTTGGTTTTTCTGGCGCATTCTGCACTGGGTTGCAAGGATCATAGACATCACAAGAAGGGTACTGAAACTTATTCATCTTCAAGATGGGTGCATAGGAGTTCCTTGGGTGTCAATGATTTTCACAGTGTGACATCTGGGCTTTCCTTTTTCTGTTGTGACATTAAGCACTGAGGACTTTTCCATGAAGCTGAATTTTCATACCTAACCCCTCAATGACCTCACATTATCAATATTTGACAAAGGTGATTTCCACACTGTACCACAAGTGGTGGCTTTCTGATCCTCCCTCACCATTTGGTTTCTTGTCTCTGAGGTCTCTCAGGGGAATACCAGCTTCCCTGTATTTCTTGTAACTGCCTCATCTCCTCTGCAGTTTTGTGATCTGTCTTTGTGGGTCTTGATGATTTCTTGATCTCCTTTTGCAATCTCATGACATAGTCAAGCTTATATTTGGTCTTCACTACAGATCATCTCAATTCTCCCGGTAGACCCTCACAATCCTGGATCTGACTATGTAATAACTGAGGTCTCACCTTCCTTCTGGGACACCTCCTTAGTCCTATGAAGATTTTCTCATCTCTTTTCTGTGATCAGCTTGTATAGGCTACTGGAGGCTATAGTTGTTCATATCTCAACCTTGATAATTTCTTCCATCTAGGATTCCTAATTCTTGCTTCCTAGTGCACATATTTTGTCAGATATCTGCCCGTTCTCATACCCTTCAGAAGCAAAGGGAAGCTTAACAGGTAGTTTAGCTCACAAAAACCCTCTAATGTTACATCAGCATGAAGCATAGCACTAATAAACGAAGAGAAATGTTACACTTAAAACATAATTGCACAAAATTAATAAACATAACATATAAAATTATAATTTACTGCTCAGCATGAGTTAAGGCCTACCTTCAATTCCTTAAGCATATTGTACGACTTGACCTTACAATAACCCTGTAATAGGATACTGTAGAAGAGGAAACTGAGGCTAAAAAGCAGAGGTGCTCATTTAAAAAAAAAAAAAAAAGGAACCTCTGACTTATGAAAGTGAAATCGTTTGAATTATTTTGAAAGAACTCGTAGACACCATACATGGAAGGTTGACCAGCTTCTCACCAGTGTGGACATATATCACATCATTCTCGTGGATACCCTTCTGGCTTCTCAAAAGAATAATAGTGTCATGGTAACCACCTGTCTCCCAGGATAGGAAGAAATCTACTTTACATGTTAAAAAATAATGCTTCATTTGCATAAGTACATATCTAAAGATATGGATCCTGATCATGTTTATAATGTTTTCCCCTAGCTTTCTAGAGCAATATTTCTGAGTAGCCTGCCTTTGGAATTTATTATTTTAAACATTATGCATAAGAGCATCATTTTGGCCAATAGTCTAAAGGATTTAATCCCAGAGGCCCATGTGATCTCTTCCTCATGAATAAGATTTGATGAGATTTACCCCTATTCAGAATCTTGACTGTATCCTTGAGCTCTTGGAGGAAGCTGGTAAGCTAAAGTGCCCTACTCGAGTGTTTCGATGTCCAGATTTTGCACGCACTGATACTGCTGTGCTATTTGTCTTCTAGTTCCTACCCTGTTTTCCTCTCTCTGCCCTCTGTTCTGCTCCTTTCATTTTTCTGCTGACAGCTCACATTTAGTCCTGTGTGAAAAGCACACAGAGAGCAAACACAGGGTTCTGTTGGCGCTTTCTGAGTTCACCATTGAATTGGAAACTGATTCTTGGGGAACTTTAGAACACCCAGCTTCCTTGTACCTTACAGGGTCCTTCTCCCTTCTCTACAGATAGTTTGATGGGAGCTCCTTCTGCAATGGTGAGCTTCTACCCAGATATCCCAGAAGTGGAGGCCTCAAAGGCCTGTGGAGAATTTGTGTTTCTCATGGACCGCTCAGGAAGTATGGAAAGTCCCGTGAGCAACGAGAAGAATTCTCAGCTACGAATAGAGGCTGCCAAGGTAAGCCAGATCCTTCACTATTTAGCATTGCCATGTGAGGAGGATTAGGAAGGGTAGGAGTAGGCCCATTTGTAGCTGTAGGTCGGTTCTATATCTGAGTCACAGCAAGTATAGCCACTATGTTCTCAGCCTTGAAGTACAAGGTAACAAAAGATGGTGACATTTCTTACCTTGAGGAGCTAGTCTGGGGTCTGTGTGTTTGGTAGTGATATGCTTTGTAAAATGGAGTATGAAGTGGCAGGAAGGGGTGAAAAGAACAAAGGAGAGAGAAAGAGAGGAGGCCAGCTTGGAAGACATGGAGACAGAGAGAGAGAGAGAGAGAGAGAGAGAGAGAGAGAGAGAGAGAGAGAATGGCCAGAGGGCCAGAGAAAAGCCAGAAAGAAACAGAGAGAGGGGTCAGAGATCTCCAGGGAGGTAACAATCTTTTTAAAGCAAGCCAGGCTCCTACCTGGCTGTTGCTAGGTAACTGTTGGGCAGAGCTTAGAAGACATGCTACCAGGGAGAACCCTCTTTCCCTCTATCTCACTATCTTTTCTCACCTTCAGGAAACGCTTTTGCTGTTGCTGAAGAGTCTGCCTATGGGTTGTTATTTTAATATCTATGGATTTGGATCTTCCTATGAAAAATTCTTTCCGTAAGTGTTTTGCAAGACGTGTGCTTTAAAGGGGGATCTGGACTTTTAAAAAGACTAATGCAGAGCTGACCTGAACATTCGGGTTGTCAGGAGTAACAACGTGCAATGTGTGCTACTGCCGTGTGACTCAACATGCTTGTTTCTCTAAGGGAGAGTGTGAAGTACACTCAGGAAACAATGGAGGATGCAGTGAAAAGAGTGAAGAGTTTAGAAGCCGATTTAGGGGGCACTGAAATCTTGACACCCCTCTGTGACATTTACAAGGCAGCCTCCATTCCTGGTCACCCCCTGCAGGTGAGCACTGGACGCATAGGCAGAGCAAAAATAGCTCTGCATAGTTTTAAAGAGGAAAAAAAAAAACTTTAAAGAGGAAAAAAAAAACAGGTTAAGCCAAGAATGATAAAGAGGAAAATTCTTCGATAATCCAATTCTGAGTAGTCTTCTGTATAGAATTGAGTAATGCTGTGTAAAGAGAAAATCAGACCAAAGGCAGCATTGTTTTTTCTTTTTTCCAAGTGGTTAGGCAGTTGATACCACAAAGCTTCAGAAGAAGCAGCAGGGGGAGGATGGGAAACTTCTCAGGGATCTGAAAAGTCTCTGTGACAATATGCAGCAAGTGACAGTGAAGCACTAGTGTCCCTGTCCCTGTGTGAAGAAGCTTCAAAGACTGGAAACAGCTGTGTCCTTGATGCTCAAAATATTGACTTCTGATGAACTCGACAGAGGCTGAACAGATATATTCTTTCTCTTTCAGCTCTTTGTCTTCACAGATGGAGAAGTGAGTGACACATTCCGTGTCATTAGGGAAGTTAAGTTAAACAGCAAGAAACACAGGTATGAGGAGAGAATGGTTTCTTCTATGCTGACTGGAGCCTAAGCAATACCCCATGGGGCTTGTTCCACATGCTATCAGGGGAACATAGTGACTAAGCGATTTTTCAGTTAACTCCCTGAAATTCTCTATAAAATTTAAAAATACTGTTTCACTTAATATTTATACCACAATGTTATTGTTCCTTATTTTTCTAACGCTCTGAATGATACATCGAATCATCTTTTCATCATGAAGAGATTGGCAAGTTAAAATCAAAAGTTAATCAAATATTTGGTATCTGACCAGATGAGCTGTCAGGGAGGACACCCTGAGTGTCTACCACAGGTCTAGGCCTAGACAGCTATCAGTCTTCATTCTCTCATTCCACCATTCACTATTTTAAACCTAACTGATGTATAATTCTTCTGCATATTGAGAATTTCTCCATGTTTTACTAATCATACTGAGTTTCTCAGTATGTCTCTATTCCTGCATACTGCATCATTTTTATTTTTTTAAATTTCACTAGGTTGTTGCATGTAGACACAGTCAAGTGTCGCATGTTGGGTTTTCCATGAAGTAGCTCAGTGTATATTATATTGATGTTTATAATGATGATTGCCTTTGAGCATTAGTAATTGTATTACATGTCACAAGCAATCCACTGGATAATTCATTTATATGAGAGGGTATGAATAAGCTAAGACAAATGTTACTATGTATTTTCAAGGATATGCTGGGGTCCAACACTACAGAAAGCTAAGCACAGTTGCAGAAACAAAATTACTCACACCATTCGTTAAGTAGAGTCATCTAATTTCGGTGGAATGGAAGTTTAACTCATATCAACTTATGCAAATGATTTTCCAAAGCTTCATTTCCTCACAAAATTATCATTTATGGTCTTTAGTCTTACCCAATTTTTTGCATGGCACAATACTTTTCATGCTTTAAAGTTTTATGTTCTTACACTTTTAGTGTTTACTAGCCATTAGAGTGCCCTCTTTTGGTGCATCTTCAAATTTCTTTGCAAGTGATATTATTTTTCCAGTAGATTTTTCTGTTTTTACTGAGTTGCATTTCATTTTAGGTTTTGTATATGAATATATCGATAAGTCTATACTCAGTATATAAATGTTAGCTTACTCGGTAACTTACATTTCACAATCAAAATTTTCTTCTTTGCTTTTTGTGTTTCAAGATAAGCTTCCTTAGGTAGTCCTAACTGGTATGGAACTCTCTGACTAGACCAGGTTGCTCTCAATGGGTGTCAGTCTGCCTGCTTCTGCTTCTAGAGAGCTGGGATTGCAGGCAGGTGCTACATCCCTGACTCAAACATCTGACGTTTCAATTTCAATTCTCTCAAGATTCTCTTTGAGATTACTCCCTTTGTATTTGGCCTGTTGAAGTTTGTCTTCATTCAAACTATGCAGAACACTTATGTTCTCTCTATGTATTGATTCTTTGACAAAGTCATATAGATTCATAATACATTCTGCTTACTATCTCCTCTGACCCTTTCCTATCACCCTCCTGCCTCCATCAGTCTTCTCTTCCCTACCAGTCCCTTTCCACATTTTATGTTCTTTTACTTTATAATGCTACCCAATTTGTTAAATCAGTGACATCTGCATGAACATTGTATTGGGACTATCCTTTGAATCATGTTGTGGGAATACAACTGAAGGCTATAAATCTCCCTGTTCTAGTTCTATGAGTCTTACGTTGTTACTTCCTCAATAGTCATGCAACGATTGCTTCAGGGAAGATATCCTACCCAACAGATGGTATTATCATTTGTAGGGCTCACAGCTGGATAAAATCAATGAAGCCTTTTCTCCATAAGCACCTTTTATAGCACCTCTTGATCTCTCTATATCACACAAGCAAACTGAGTGGTGGCATGAGCCTTAGAATCATACTATCTCTCTTTTGTAGGAAGCCATAGCAATGGCAAGACCAATGGCTTTATTTCTTTCAAGTGAAACTTTCTGAACAATGTCTCTTAAGCAGTTACTCCATTTCTGACATTGAGTTTTTGTTTAGTAACACATGGTTTCAAGCAGAAGCCTTTTCCAGACATTAGACTATCTCCCTTCCAATTTTAAGTTAGGAAATGCAGCACAACAAATTTTATTTCACTTCCTCCCACCCCCAGAACTGAGTTCTAGCTCAGACAGGTTTCCTTCTGAGATAGCAGCTAACTGAGTCATTTTGTCTCACCTAGAACAATCTATAGCCCAAACATCATGTGAACTTTCAATTTTCCTGGTTTAGGATCCTAAGAATTCGGGGTTATCTCTCAATATGAGCAATTTCTTTTAGAGTTTCTGAAATATACTTCAAGTTCAGTTTACCCACAGATATTTGGTATATCTTGTATCTTTCATTTCCTCATTGAAATCAGTGTTTGATTGTCACAATGATCATATGCACATGTGCAGATTGTTTCTGAGCCCTCTGTTCTATTCTACTGGCCCCTTGATACAAATGTGTTCTCGGGCTATTCTACGTAAATTGATCGTCTCTGGCAATTCCTGCCCCTGTAATATGTTCATTTTAGTAATGAATTTAATCCATTATGAGGAAGGTGGTGATTTTAGCCTTTATCATTTTGTGTGGGAATTGTGACTATCAATAATATATTTTAGTCCACCTTGCACTTCTGAAGAAACTCATCTCAATCCTGATGAACAATCTCTGTCACATATCTTGGATTCAGTTGGTCCATATGGCTTTGGAGTTTGGAACATTCATTAATGTGAAATAATTCTGGGAAATTTAAATTATATGTGAGGTTTATGCATCCATGCATACCTGTATCACACAATGAGCCCAAGACACTGCCCTTCTCCTATTTTATGAAAAATGGCCTTTCTTTTATTTTTATTAGAAATGGCCGGTGTGCCATTCAGACCTAGTAGACTTTGTAGGGGGTTTGGCATACTCACCTTTACATGGTATCTTTCCACTGATAGGTCTTACTCTTTGCTTTCAACTATTGTCAGACTGAGAATTGACATCTTTAATCCAACTAAACTTAAATGAACTTTATAGCTGGGTCAGGTTTTACTGACATCTACTCGGGTATTAGTATTTCTACATTGTTCTGTGAAAAATTCTCAGGTATTTTCAGGCCCACTGACAAAAACTCAAAACTACCATTTTCCTGCTACTTCTGAAACTGCTATGTTTCCAGCCTCGCAGTCAGAGACTTCAAATGATAAATGGACAGCATTTGCAGGCTCATTTTATTTTTTCTTCTCTGCATTTCCAGGTCTTGGTTCCTAGGCTCATATTCTCTCAGCAGTCATGGGAGCCAATTGTCATGGCCTTTGGCTGCATTACAGAAAGTATTAAAACTCTTGTTTATAGGTCTCCAGTTCTCTCAATCCTAAGTAACATAGTCAAGGTTTTCTGTGAATAGAACTCAGTTTGTTTTGTTTTGAGCCTTGTATTTGAGTCCTATAAGATCAGAATCTCTTAAGTAGTCATCTTAAGAGATTATCTTAGTCATCTCTGAGTCTTCTGCAGAACACATGTCTGAACAATCCACTAATCTGTCTTTCTTATTGAGAATGATAAAACCAATAGTCACTTACTTATAGGTTATTGAGAAGGACTAAAACTATAGTTTAAATAAACTCTGGTCCTCAAGCTTGCACACCGGAAAGACAAATTCTAAGGTCCAATTCAGGGATATTGACTCATATTACCAAGAACCACAGATCCTGAATATATCAGTCAAGATGTCACTTACTTATCACTTGATGTTTTCATAATTTACTAGGGGATTTTGGAGCTAAATCCTTGCTAGTTAGCTGGTACCCTATCTTCCCTGTAGTGAGAATAGACTTATGACAGACATTGCAAATTCCCTGGGCCCTAGATCTTCATCAACAAAATGAAACTGGGCCTTTTCTCTTAGAAGACTCATGATATTAAATTGTATCAGTTATTTAGAGGATTTATTACATCCCAGAGAAATAAAGTATGATTTCTAAATGAGCGCATTGCACTGGCTTTGAGGTAAGTACCTTATCTCTTCATGTGTTTTTCACCAGCCCATGTAAGTCGATAATTCTGCTATGGAGAATCCGTCTCTAATGTTCATCATTTTACCATTGCAGATGTTTCTCCTTTGGTATTGGAGAAGGAGCCTCTACCAGTTTAATCAAAAACATCGCCCGGGTATCAGGGGGAACTTCAGAGTTTATCACAGGCAAGGACAGGATGCAGACCAAGGTGAGAACAGACTGAGTTTCCAGAGCTCTGTAGTCCAGAATGAGCATGAGATAGGACAAGGATGCTGAAGCAAAGGCAGATGATCTATTCTTCTGAAGGACACGTCTTCACGAGTCTCAGACTGTACTCTTCAAGGGTCCACTTGTTATTTCTATTCTGTTTTCATATCAGAAGGCTGACATCTGACTGTGGCTGCTGGAAATCCTGAAAGGAAGTAATTAAGGCAGTTGTGTCTCTTGTTTTGAAGACAAGAGAGAAAGAAAGTGAAAGCTTTAGCTGCTCTATCTGGAGACACAGACTGTATTCTGAGTAAATCCAGTAGAAATCCATTCTCCATGCACAAGACACAAAAGACAAGCAACTGTGTATGTCTCATAGACAAAAAACATGCGTCTCGTTCCTTTATTAGAATACAAACGAGGTGGAAGATTTCACTAAGTATCTTTCTCAGGCTCTCCATGTTGTTAGTGTCTCGTCTCTATCTCTTTTGCAGGGGTTTCCTTTCTTATATATTGCCTTTATACATATCTACACTTTTATATCTCTCGAGTGTAACTTCACCATACACATAAGTAGAGGAAAAAAATAACATTTCTCACTTTGTACTGGGGATTAGACCTGATATGAGTTATGCCCTAGGTCCTGATAAATACTCCATGAATACCAGTAATTCTTATCATTTGTATGTATAATTCTGCCTCTTCTCTCTTCCAACAGGCTCTTGGGTCTCTCAAGTTTGCGCTACAATGTGCAGTGGATAACATCTCTCTGAGTTGGGATTTGCCTCCTGGTGTGTCTGTTAAAATGCTTTCTCCAGAGCAGCCTGCCATCTTTAGGGGTCAGAGGTCAATCATCTATGCACAACTGACTGGGCTTATGCCTGTGAGTCCCTATACTTATTCATTTTTTTTCACTCAGTGGAGACTGTATCAGTGCTTTTATTAATACTGGTGGTCACTTGGGATTTCTGCAAGATATGGCTCTTGCCCCACAGCCAGCCAGCCATCCTCTGTTGTATGTCATGGCTAAATGCTCCTGCACTGCCAAATTCATAGCCTGACATCCTGTTGATATGAGGAACCTCCAGGTCATGTGTCTGTTTTGTCACCCCTGCTGTTATGTTTGTAAAAGGATAAAGGGGAGAAGGAATATGTTTGGTGGTTGTGTAGTTAGGTATGGAGGAAAGGGGACCTTCCGAGGGCCCATGCTGAGGGATCAGCCACAGGACACAGAACTGTATAGTATAGAATAGAGTTTATTCAGGGCATGGGGAGGGGAGTTGAGAAGATTGTAGAGACAGAGAAAAGCAGAGAGAGAGAGGAGAGGGGAGGAGGAAGAGGAGAAAGAAGAGGAGGAAGGAGGGAGAGGAGGAGGAAGAGGGGGAGAAACAGAGGAGGAGGAGGAGGAGGAGGAGGAGAAGGAAGAGGAGGAGGAGGAAGAGGAGGAGGAGGAGGAGGAGGAGGAGGAGGAGGAGGAGGAGGAGGAGGAGGAGGAGGAGGAGGAAAAGTAAAGCTGGTCATGAGCCCATAGACCATAGAGAGAGCCGGGTTATGGAAATGGAGAGAGACTGGGAAAGGGCTAGAGGACAGAGTGGAAGCAAGAGGGAAGATCAAGAGAGAGCAGAGGGGGAGTGGCCAGCCCCTTTTATAGTAAGTCAGACATGCCTGGCTGTTGCCAGGTAGCTCTGGGGCAGGACTTAGACTTAAATGCTAACACCTGCTTTCGTCTTATGTCTTATTTGTAGCAGGGGGAGAGCACAGGAGCAGTGTGCATCAAGCACATCCTCCAGGGCAAGAGTCTGGAAAACAGGGTGACATTTTCCCTACAACCCAAGGCAAATGCCAAGTAAGACTTCAGCCATGCTTCTCCTTCTCCACATTTTCTCTGCTCTCCCTGCCCTCCTCTCCTCTTCCCTGCCCTCCCCTTTTCTCTGCTCTTTCCCTCACCTCCCTTCTCTTCCTTTATTGTGCAATCCTTGAAAGTTCAATCTTTCCTGTCCCTGACCTCTGCTGTATCCTCTAGCTCTTCTCATTCATTAACCTCTTTGTCTCTGCATTCCATTCTGACTGCAAGCACTAGCTTTTAAGAGTCTTTGATGTGCAGTTACTTCTCTTTAATTTTCTGCAGTATCTTCTTTCAGTTTCACCATTCATCGGCTGGCTGCAAAGTCCTTGATTCAGACCAAGGATTTGGGATCCGAAGAGGCCTCAAAAGAAGAAAAAGAGGATGTGATGAACATCAGCCTTCAGTCTGGAGTCCTCAGCTCTTTCACAGCCTTCATTGCCATAAACAAGGAGCTTAACAAACCAGTGCAGGGACCTCTGGCCCACAGAGTGATTCCTAGTCCAGAGACGTTTAGCCACACATTCAACTGTTACTCTGGTATGTTTTATCCCAATTTAAACTTGTATTTACTGTATCTTAGATATTTAAGTACAACATATAAACAATGGTAAGATTCACATTCTCATAAATTTAAATTGAAATACAATTCTTAGAATTCCTGGGTTTCCCTCATCCTTCTAAACCCAAGATATACAACTTGTCATAAATTTTCTACAAAACTATATTATGTCCAACTGGGAGGGAGATTTCGTGTAGAAGTACAGAAGAGCACAAGACATATTACAATGCAGAAATATCTGTAAACATTGGATAACAAAACCTTGACACTTGAATCTGACTTTGTTTTTTTGATAATTAATCCGTGGCCACTCGGAGTGGCGATTAGATTAACTAGAATCAGTTAATGGTATTGGTAGAATAAGGAATTTATAAAACCAGTAGAGATCAGAAAGGGCTACAGGGGCCTACTAGGAAAAAAAACCATCAAACCAATTTCTGGGATGACTGAAAGTCAAGCTGAATTTGACGACTGTTTTTTTAAATAGTCATAAACACTATTACGAGCCCTGCAGTGTATGAATAATTTATAGCAAGAGTTAGGAGCTTTAAGTGAAGAACAAATTGGGCCCAGGACTGAATTGATTTCTAATGTATGATTTTGACATACAGGTCTGAATTATAAATTAAGGCTATAGATTGAATATACTGAGGAGGCTGGGAATATGTGTGAGCGCTGTTTAGCTTGAATGAAAAATAAAGTTTGAAGGAAGGTGACATATTTGGAAAATTAGAGACATTGCGTGCTAAGCACAGGTCAGGTCAAAGACCATTTTTTTAAAACAGAAACCACTATGTTAAAACACTAGAGATATGGGTGTTGTGTTTTAAAACTAAGATTAAAATATTTCTGACAAATCAAACAATTCTGCTTAATAGCAATGACTTGAGGGCATGAGAGAGGTGCCTTAGTCACTGGATCTGAAGAAGACAAGGTGTAATGTTTCAAAGGTGACACTGGAAGCCTGGGTGTGGCTTTTTTCTACTTTGGGTATTGGTCAGAGGTAAATTAAATAGTTGAGGGTTGACAGATGTGAGGACACATGGAAGATAACCCAGGTGAGAGAGAAAGCTCAAGAATATTTTCTTGAGAAAATTACCAACCTTACCTTCTGAATCTGGATGCTCAGGGTACAATTGAGCTCCTTTTAAAGGGGACAGAGACGAAATAGCTTTGTAGACCAGAAAAGTAAAGTATCTTAAGTTAAAACGTAGCTGGAAGAATCCTCTTGTGTTAAAGTTTAAGATGCAGCTATGATTGTTTAGCACTTGGGAGATGTTTTAAAGACTCAATAGGAAATAGAATGAAGGCTCGGGAGAGGAGGGGTCTGTATGGAGACAGTGCAACACAGGAGAATGGACCATCATTTAAGTGGCTGAGGCTGATATGGGTAGTAGGGCTGATGTCTTACCTCCCTACACTTTTTAATCTTTGCTTGCTGCAGAGCACTAAGGATGCTTCAGCCTTCACTAGGCTTTTGTGTTTTTCAGGTGTCCTGGCATGCTCAATGCCAATAGATGAATCATTTGCACTGCCTTCCCTGGGATGCCTAATGTCAGAATCATGTACACCAGAAAGTGTTCCATATACAAGGCAAAGTTAGTATCTCAAAGGGTTTATGGAGACAAACTTCTACAATCTGAGGGCACTTCTTTCTTGGAAAAGATTCTCAGCAATGTTTGTTTGTCACAGGTACTGATTTTTTCCAGCTCCAATCTGCAGGTCTTGGAATGACAAAAGTAGCGTCCAGAAAACAGAAGAAAAAAACATGTTTTTCTATCAAGAAAAGGAACTTGCAAAATGAACACACAGGTGAAATGGTGGTCAGATTTTTTGTTTCTGGTTTGTGATAAGCACAAACTAACCTTCTGTCTTCTTACTTTTGAGCTTTTACTACCTAGGGATGACCTGATGCATCAGACAGTAGGTGATATTTGACATCCCCATGTATTTGCCAGAATGAGTCTAGCTTCATTAATCTACAATACAGCACTTGATACCTTCTAACCTACTGTAGTTGAGTGTCCTCTAGTTCTTTAAGGTCATTGGCTATCTCTGCCTAAACAGTATATGTGTCTTCAATGAATGGCCCCAGCAGACTCTACTGCTGCTGTATTTGGACCAAGAGCATCTGGACACCCATCATATATCAGAAATAGTTTGGATTTTCTGCAGAATCTCTACTACAGCCTCCTATGTCCTCAGGTGGGCTGTGATCCCTGTGACTCTCTAATTTCTCATGGCATTCCTCTTCTTTAATTTTTTTTTTTCATAAAGCATCTGGAGAGAATGTTGTCCTGCAGATGATTTCTCTCCAAAAGGCAGATGGCTCCTGGAAGCTGGATGAAGATCTGGCCAAGATCCTGGGCACTAAGTTGAAAGACATCAAGGCTGCAAACCCTGTCAAGGTGAGATGCAAAAAAAAAAGAAACAAGGGGAAGGGTGTGTGCTTCATGAAATCAGAGACACAATGAGAATTGAAGTGAACCAGGGCCCAAGAGAGAAATAAGAACATAGGTAATGCAAAGGGGACATAAACTTGTAAGATGTAGATGATTAAATCACTTCTACCTTAGCTGTGTTCTGAGCATACAGAACACAGAATGAAGAGCCTAGCTGCTGGAAGGCATGGACAGGATGATGGATGTTAAAGGGAAAAATAAATACTCTTCTGAGTTAGTCTTATTCACTGAGACTATACTGCAAAACATATTTTGGTCTTCACGCTGTGCTAGACATTTTTTAATCACTTAATGCTCTTATATTTATTTGATTCTCATTTCAGTTAATTAAGGCAGGTTCTGTTTATACAGCCACATATAGATGAAGAAATTGACCATTAAGGTCATGGCTGGAGCACTGGCTCAGTGTTTAAGACCACTGGATGCTCTTCCAGAGGTCCTGAGTTCAATTCCCAGCAACCCCATGGTGGCTCACAACCATCTGCAATGGGATCTGATGCACTCACTATTCTAGTATGTCAGAAGATAGTGACAGTATACTCATATAAATAAAAATAACTAAATCTTTAAAAAAGTAAACAAACATTGTGTGAGCCAGTCAGTGCAGAGCTAAATTCAATTCTAAGATGCTCTGTCTTTAGGGCCTCCAGCAATACCCCAATCATTGCTGTTTTTTATGTCCCCAAATAGGATGGCTATAGTAAACTTTATTTAGAATTTTGAGATAACCTTCTGAATGGTCTAAATCTACTTGAAAAATATCTTTTCAATGAAAGACTTATGTCAAATACTAAAGAAGAAATACAATTTTGACTGATTAAAATATGAAACATAATTATATAAACTTCAGATGTTCTGTGGTTATACTACTTCTATCCTAGCTCCTAGTCAGGCCTGGCTACTGAGCCTATGAAATGTGGTGAATCCAAATGAGATATAAATTGTTTAGTCAGTAGAGGTATCTATACTGCAATATATAAACTGACTTAATTATTTGAGGGTAAAGCCATGGGAATATTTCATTAGAATTATTTCATCTAGAATATTTGTGAAAATGGTAATTCATTTTTAAGAGTTAAAAAAAAATGAAATCTGCTGCCAGAGCAGTAGATCACCAAGAGAACTCAATACCAGCTTACAGAAGGTCATGTATTTGATTCAATGAAAACATATAGCAAAGTAAAATGAATATATATATATATATATATATATATAATATACATATAATATATAACATATAATATATAATAACATATAATATAACATATATATATAGTTGATTAACTCACTTCTACTTTAGCTGGAGCATACAGAACACAGAATGAAGAGCAATGATGCTAGAAGCTTTTTATATATATATATATATATATATATATATATATATATAATGCTGATATATGAATTTCAGTTGGAAACCAGAAAATTTTAAATGATGAATCTTCAGAGTGATTTATATATTAGCTGAAAATAATGCTAATGAGTAATGAATCGATGTCAAAAATGGAGACATCTTCCTAATGCATCCAGTAAGCTCTGAAATTTTAGAGATCTATATTTTCAATAATGACCTTAATGAAGATATAGATTAAAGGTTTCTATAGGTAGATAAGAAAACTGAAAGGAAAAGTGATAAACGGGAAACTCAAAATCCCTTGAGCATTTCTGATCATGGTTTGTAATCAGTGCCAACAGGACTAACAAAAACTATGCAGCAGGAATAAGCGTCAAGAATTGCATCTGATTCTTCATCCTCAGGTGTGTGAAAGAGACAGAAAACTTACAGAGAACAGATGCACATAGAATCCAGAGGTGTCAGGAAGTCACAGGCCATGTGAGCAGTAGATCTGAACCAAGATCCTCAGGATGAGCTTCATTCTTGGGCTATGATTACAGATTTCATATGCTATTTACTCTACAATGTACCTATGTCAATCATTAGCAAAATTCCAATATCCATCATTACTAGAATATAGTAATCTATAGACAAACTTTAGCCAATGTTTTCACTTTTGTGCTACTTATTTTTGGTTTGGAAATGTTCTACTTATTATTCTTAGGGTTTTTTTTTGGAATTAAGGATAAAATTTGATGAACACAATACCTTAAAAGAAGTCAAATTTACATTTTCTTCTCTTTCCAATATCCAATTATTCATGCGCTAAGTGTTTGGAAGTGTTTTGAGGAATGTGATGATGGTTACACTGGACTTATAACGTAAGTCCTTTCCTAAGTGGTAAGGGAAAGCTGTGACTAGTCTTTCTAGTGAGAATGGTAAATGAAATTCCATGTAGCAGCAGATTAGGGAATGATGATGAAGGTGATAGTAAATCTATTTGTTTCCTCTTGAGGGACTTCATGTCCTGCCCGTAGAATCACAGAAATTTCCTTCTGTTTTGCAGCATGAGGACCCCTCAGCCTGGGCCACAGTGCTGGCTGTGATCTGGTTGCATGCCAATGGCAAGGACTTAAAGTGTGAGTGGGAGCTTCTGGAAAGGAAGGCTGTGGCCTGGCTTCAGGATCATGCAGGTAGGAGGAAAGACCCTCCCTCCCTCTCCTTCTTTCCATCTGCTTCTCAAGGAGTCCTGCCTCTATGTGTTGCTGAATACTCAGGAGTTTCCATGGTTGCCCCAATCATGCTATCTCAGAATATTGTCTGTTTCTCCAGCTTATCCCTCCTTTTCAGGATTAGAGTGAAGTATGTCCTTGGTAGTTAGGACAAGTTGAGCAAAGAGAAGGGGCACAGATGTGGATGCTTAGCTGAATAAGACTATCCCTAGGCATGCAGCAAGTGCTTCTGGATGTTTATTGTATCCTCATTGCTGTGTGTGTCCTTATGGACAGAAATGACTAAAACAGAATCAGAAGAAGAAAGCAGGATGCTGAATCAAGGCGGAAGGGGGATGGAGGAATGACTGAGGAAGGTTGAGGAAAGAGCCTCCCTCTCCTGTCCCACAGTTCTGACTCTTGTTTCCTCTCCTCACAGGCTCTTCCATCCCCATGCTTGTGCAAGCTGCTAATAGCGTCCTGAAATTATCAGTGAATCCTGCTGTCTTCGGCATCTAAAGATGTCACCCATGAAAGCAGAGCCTTTCCTGGCTACTCTCAAGTTTGTCACTTCTTGGCTGAGATAGCTTTTGGGCTCTATTCATGTCTTTTCATTTCATCATAACAAGAACATACCCACAGCCTTGCTTATCATTCTTGGTACCTTTGCACCTGATTTTTTATCCCTATTATTTCTTTTGTGAGAAGTTAGCATAGTCTCCCAACATGTTTTCATCATGGAGATTTTTGTTCTATTCATATGCAGAATGACACATAAAGTTTTCCAAACCAATTACAATATAGTTACAATATAATGGTTGGCATGGAATCTAGAGTAAGCATGCAGCATTGACCATGGGCCGTGCTTAAGTTAATAACCTGCAGTATTGTTATCTACTGTCTATGCAGAGTATGGTCTATGTAGTATGGTCAACAAATGGCTTTAAACTCACAGAATCGGCCTAGCAGGTAGCACAGCCATGATGGATGCTTCTCAGTTGAGGACACTACATGTCTTGAGGACCTCATGCTGTTATGCATTTTTGCTCTGCCTGTTTCCTTCACATCCCTCTTAATCTAAAGATTGTATAAAAACTCTAAGTAGGCTTCCAGGCCCTCACTGGGCAGTATCATTGGCACTAAGCAATCATAATGCCTGATATCTTTCAGGTATTGTTGCTAGAGCAGGCTAATGATTCAATTACTGCCCTAGGAAAGAACTTAGAGATGTGGGTTGTCACCAATGTGTGGAGAGCTTCTGGGGCTGCTTGACAGGAATCTGACTTTGGCCAAGGACAAGGAAATGGGCTTTAGGCAGGAATCTGACATTGGGCCATGACAGGGAAGTAAGTTCAGGCAGGAATCTAATTTTAGGCTAAAACAGAGAAGTAATTTCAGTCAGTCATCTAAGACTTAGGCTAGAACAAAGAAGTAGGCTTCAGACATAAATAAGACATGGGCTAGGACAGGAAAGAAAGCTCAGATGTTTTTGTCATCCTGATGAGCCCTTAGAAACAGTGATCATGAGAGTGATCATGGGAGTGATCATGGGACCTTTTTTATTGCCTTGTTTGTCCCTTGACTATTTGCAGCTATTGCATTGCTGGTACCTCAACCTAGACCTGACCTAAATACTTGCATGTAATTAAAATGGTTTAAAAGAAAAATGGGTAAAAATAAACCTGCCTCCGCCTTCAGCCTCAGAACTGGCTGCGGTCATGCTTCAATGTTGTCTGATTGTCTTTGTTCTTCTTAATCCTCACTTATGTGCTGGAGAACCTGTTGACTGACTGAGCTGGCTTGGTCAACTACCCTTAGAACCTTTATTTGGAAAAATAAAGTTTTTAGTGAACCTATTTTAAGATGTTTCTTGCTATTGACACCGTTTAAAAAAAAATCTTAATGAACATTTTGAAGTTCTAAAAGGTACATACAAATTAGTTAAGCAAGAGACATTTCATGGTCAGAGAACAAGAAGACTGGCAGCACTGGCTAACATGGATCTCACTAATGATTGATCTGTTATGCCTATTTTTGCCTTCAGCTTTCTGGTATGATTTAATAAGAATTGCTGATGAGTAGAAATCCATTCTTAGGATTTACAGTAGATAAGACTGACTTTTATATAAAGGTTCAGATTTGTGATTCGCTGAAGATTTTTATAAGATTAATCTTAGAGATAAATAAAAGAATTAATCCTTCCTTTTTAAGTGCCAATTGCTGCCTGCAAGTAACAGGAGTTGGCTGAGAAAACTACCTTGCTTACTCATGCTTTTTAAATTGATAAGAAGTTGCTTAGTTATGAATGTACATGGGTTCTTGGGAATAGTTTATTTTCTTTACCTGTACTACAAAATGCTATTTCTTGTAAAGATGTTATGTAATATCCTGTTCGTTTGTTTTCTTTTTCATAGTCATTCACTAGAAGGAAAATAGAATGTAATCAGATTGTAATTTTACACTGTTTAAAATATTTTGCTGGGATATATAAGACATGGGAAAAAATAAAATTGTTGAAACTCTGCTTCTTCCACCTCCAAGTATGTGTGTGTGTGTGTGTGTGTGTTTGTGTGTGTGTATATGTGTGTATGTATATGTGTAAAGTTTGTAGGAGAGTGCATTGGAACTTTGTTC